AGATGCTGTTATGTTTATCCTCTGTCAAAAATGTTTCATTTTTCCATTTGTCAGCCCCACTGTCCATAATTTTGTGTCTGGTTCCTAAGTTCTTCTTCTAAGCATTGCTTGTTTTCTGTTTTCCTTTCCTGCAGGCTGTCATCCAGCTCTTACACCAAGAATTCCAAATTCCGCAAGTCCTACTGAGATGGGGAAAATCATCATTTATGAGCATGTCTACTTCCAGGGTTTGTCCAAAGAATTCACCACTGACATTGCCAGTCTACCTGATGTGGGTTGGAATGACATTGTCTCCTCAGTGAAAGTAATTGGGCAGCCTTGGGTGGTTTACGAGCATGTAAACTATACTGGCAAATTTATGGTACTTGAGGAGGGAGAATATAGCACTGTGGGTAAAGATATGAACGATAAGATCAGTTCTCTGCAGCTGATCACTGATAATCTGCACAATCCTCAAATCACTCTCTATGAACATGTTGAATATAAAGGAAGGAGCAAGGTAGTAACAGAAGCAACCAGTCTGGCAGCTGGAGATTTTGATGACATCATATCGTCTCACCAAGTCCAGAGAGGTGCCTGGCTGTTGTGTGAAAACAGTGATGGAAGTGGAATTCAATACATTGCCCGAGAACATGAAGAACTCCCAAATTACAACGCAATCAACTTCAATGACAAGCTTTCATTCCTGCGTCCCCTTCGCCCTGGCCATGGCCGTTAGACTTCAAATCCTGCAACAGCAAGAGAAGATGCATCCCCAGCAAGAAATTCAAGACCTAAATCTCTGCTTCTGCTCATGTTGCTATTTCCCCTGTGTCACACGAGAGCTGTCTTCCATGCTGTGCTGCAGATCTGTACTTCCCAATCCTGCCTTGAACTCTTCTCCTGCCCCACAAATGCAAGAGTTATTGTACTTGATCATATTAAAGAGACTTCAATCTAAGAGACATGCCAGGGGTGTACAAGCTATTGCACCCACAGCTGGCATTCCCATGTTCTCTACTGTGGGATGTGAAAGCATTGCATGTTGCCTCTGTTGCTAAATGCATAAATAAAATATGAGCCTAGAACCAGCCTCACTTCCTTTGTAATTTGTTTTTCAATGCCCTTTTGGTACCATGGCTTCTGCTACTTTCTGTGATCCACTTTGTGTTGGTGTCATTAAAGAATCTCTTGGAAGCAGCAGTGGGTCTGTTTTATGCACTGTTTAGAATAGATAAATCTTGCCCTTTCATGATGAGATGTCTCTGTGTATCCAGGGAATGGTTCATGCAGACACTTGTAATCATTTTTTATTAATCTTTCCTGAGATATTTTATCTGCTTCCATTTTCACTTGTTGGTAGCATTGCAACCTGACTTGGTGAGCATGTTGATCATTGCTGTAATCCTGGCCAAACCCTCACCTGGTGACTGTGCAATCCCACCACTGATTGTATCTCAAGGCATTGATCACCAACTCATAGAACCATACAAAGTCTGTGTCTGGAAGGGACTTTAAAGACTATCTATTTCCAAACCCCCTGCCATGGGTCATGGGCAGGGACACCTTCCACTAGACCAGGTTTCTCATAGCCCCATCCAGCCTGGCCTTGAACACTACCGGGAATGTGGAATCCACAGCTTTTCTGGACACCCTATTCCAGTGCCTCACCACCCTCAGTAAAGATTTTCTTCCTCCCATCTGTTCTAAATCTCTCCTCTTTTATTTAAAACCATTCCTGCCTCATCCTATTACTATCTGCCCATGTAAAATGTTCCTCCCTCTCATTTTTACAAGCCTCCTTGAAGTACTGGAAGGCTATAACATGTTCTGTCTGGAGCCTTCTCTTCTCCAGGCTGAAGAACAGCAGCTTTCTCAGCCTGTCTTCGTAGTGAAGATGCTCCCACCCTCTGACCATCTTCTAAGTCAGTACTTATATCTGGGATTGCTCTAACCCAGGTGGAGCACCTTGCTCTTGGACTTGTTGAACTTCATGAGGTAATTGTGGGACCACTTCTCAAGCTTGTCCAAGTCCCTCTGGATGGCATCTTGTCCTTCTGTTGCCAAGTGCACCCCTCAGCTTTGTGTGATCTACAAACCTGCTGAGGATGCATTTGATCGCACTGTCCATATATATCACTGATTGTGCCGGTTTGAGCTAGGGTAGAGTTAACTTTCTTCACAGTTGCTATTATGGGGCTATGTTTAGGATTTGTGCTGAACACAGGATTCATAATATGGAGATATTTGTGTTATTGCTGAGCAGAGCTTACACAGAGCCAAGGCCTTTGCTGCTTTTTGTACTGCCACGCTGGCAAGGAAGTTGGGGCTGCATGGGAGGTTTGGAGGAGGCACAGCGGGAACAGGTGACGCAAACTAACCAGAGAGGATATTCCATACTACAAGACATTATGCCCAGTATATAAAGGGGGAGGAAGAAGGAAGAAGGGAGAATGTGTGGAGTGATGGCACTTGTTATGTGTGATGGGGCCCTGCTCTCCTAGAAGTGCTGAACACCTGCCTGCCCATGGGAAGCAGTGAATTAACTTCTTGTTTTGTTTCGTCTGTGTGTGCAGCTTTTACTTTTCCTATTAAACTGTCTTTATGTCAACCCATGAGTTTTGTAGCTTTTATCCATCTGATTCGATTCTCCATCCTGCTGGTGGGTGAGTGAGTGAGTGGCTGTGTGGTGTTTGGTGACTGGCTGGGGTTAAACCACAACATTGATAAAGATACTGGAGAGCACCAGTCCCAAGACAGAGCCCTGAGGGGCACCACTCGTCACCAGCCTCCACCCAGATGTGGAGCCATTGACCAAAACTCTCTGGCTGTATCCATCTAGCCAATTCCTTATTCATCAAATAGCTCACCCTTCACACCCATGTCTTTTCCAATTTGAAGATAAGGATGCCTTGTGGGACCATGTCCAAGACCTTTCAGAAGCTCTACTGAAACCCCCCAGGCCACGCACTGCTCACTCACTCCCCCACTCCCTCCCGCTGTGATGGGATGGAGGGAATTGGAAGCACAAATGTAAAGATCACTGGTTGACATAAGAGCAATTTACTAAGAAAACAGCAATGAAATCAGAAAAATGATCAGTAACAACTGTGTTAATAACAGAGTGTACAAGGCAGGCGATCAACTCCCAAGCTAACGCTCCCCATGTGGAACCCAGTACTGCACGTCCGGACGCACTGTGCCTCAACCTGAAGTGCTGCCAGAACAAAGGGCATCCCCTGCCCCCTCCATTCCCTCCTCACAATGAGAGGTGGTGTACAATAACCCCAAGATCCTAGTGTGCCCATCCTGGCAGCAGCAAATGTTAAGCCTGTCCTGGATGGAACCAGGACATTATCCACAGCTTATTCTATACCATCTATATCATGCCTGGATCCTACACCTTCTCACTGCACATACATATACACATACAGATATTGGTGGAAACATATATATGTATATATACAGACACACAAGCATGGGTATCATTTCCTTATTAAATAGCTGTCCCTCCAAAATGTCTGTTGAGTTCATTTAGCCCATGACTGTGGGTTCTAGAGATCCTAAATGTCTTTCAGAACAGAAGGCCTGTGTGCTGTCATGTTGTCACAAGCTGCATCAGGAATTCATAACAGGTGTATCTGGAGCAGTCCATGGAACTTACAGCACACAATGACTGTATCATTCAGCAACCACTATTATACAATTTAACATTACTGCCTGTTCTCATAGAAAAGTCAACCCTTGGATGGGTTTGCCTTTGCTTGAGGCAGGACTAATCCAGACTGTCTTCCCTAGCATATTCCTCAGATGCACCATGAGGACTTTATCCCCATAATGTACCTGGAGATTTTGATTACGCAGGGCCAGCTCAACTGGTAGAACGTCTAGTGTTAACTAACCAGGTGGCCTTTGCTAGATGTAGATCCCAGCGTTTGAAGGTTGCACCACGCCTTGCCTTCAATGTGGTTTTTAACAATCCATTGTACTGCTCAATTTTCCCAGGTGCTGGTGCATGGTAGGGAATGTGGTGCAATCACTCAATACCATGGTCTTTTGCCCAGGTGTCTATGAAGTTGTTTTGGAAATGAGTCCCATAGTCAGACCCAGTGCTTTCTAGGGTGCTGTGTCACCACAGAACTTGCTTTTTGAGGCCCAAGATGGTGTTTTGGGCAGTGCTGTGAGGCACAGGGTATGTCTTCAGCCATCCAGTGGTTGCTTCTACCATCGTGAGCATGTAGCACTTGCCTTGGTGGGTTTGCAGGAGTGTGATGTAATCAACCTGCTAGGCCTCCCCATATTTACCAACCCTGTCCACCTGTCCTGGTTTTAGCCAGGAGGGAGTTAATTTTCTCAGTAGCTGGTGTAGTGCAGTGTTTAGAATACAGAGTGATAATACATTGTTGTTTTGGTTTTGCTGGATTGTGTTTATCCTAAACCAAGGACAATTTCCTGCTTGTCTCTCATGCTCTGCCAGTGAGAAGATACACAGGAAACTGGGGGGTCTCGTGCTGCTGCATCCTCTGGGCTGTGGCCATGTCCATGTGGTGACTGTGTGTCAGCCTGGGCAGCATGGCCAGTACAGCCAGGAACAGCGTGACTGCCACAGCCATGGCCTGTAGGAGGCAGGAGGAAAAGGGTCAGCAGGTCTTGCTA